GGTTCAGGGTATCATTCACTATGTGAAGTCGAAGTACCGCAAGCACCTGCTAGAGCGAATGATCCTATGCTCAGAAGCTGGAAAGTTGTATCAAGTGGACTTACTCGGCGCAGTGCACATCTTCGCCCACGTGTGGAAAAACACTCCGCCGCAAGTCATCGCCAACTGTTTTCGGCACAGCGGTTTTGTGAGGCCCGAGCATGCAGCAGTAGCTGACGATGGCATCGAGGAGGTGTCAGCCGAGTCCACGGACGATGACTGTCTGACTTTCGATGCTGTCCTTCCCACAGATGTGACCTTTCAGGACTACATCGTGATTTATCATGGTGTCGCCACGAGTGGTCTCCTGACCGATCAAGAGATTATTAATGAAGTCACGGGCGCCCGTGAAGACGACGATTCCGACGAAGAATCATGCGAGGAGATACAGCCGCAACCTCATTGCACCTCACGGGAAGTCTCGGAGGCGCTGTGAATATTAGAGGACGCTTGCCTGAACACTCCCGACAGCTTGTGTGCTGTTGGCCATTTGGAACAGTTAAGAAAAATTGTGATGTCAGCCGGAATCTGCGCGAAAACGCAGACGACAATTACAAAATACTTCAACAAATAAAGGTATGCTTCTGCAGCTTGATTTTAAATGTTGTTTTCCGTGTTCATTCGTTCATTCGGCATTCGGGCAGTTTTTTCGGTCCCGTGAAATCCGAATTAACGAGCTTTTACTGTATTAGGGGTCCTTGCGCATCTAAACGGGAGTCAGCCCATAGGAGATTATGTGCATTTAGATCACCAACGACTATATATGGCGGAGAAAGTTCATCAATGAACCTTTGAAATTGTGTCTTCGAAAGTTGATAGCACGGAGGAATGTAAATAGAGGTAATTGTTAGTAGCTTCCCGAACAGCACTGCTCGGACAGCTACTGCCTCAAGAGAAGTTCGGAAGTTTAATTGCTTAGAGGCAACACCTTTATCAACTATTATAGCGACACTGCCCGACGAAGCGGCAGCGTCGTCACGGTCTTTACGGAAGATGGCATATTGCTTCAAAAAGTTTGTTTGTGTTGACTTGAGATGTGCTTCCTGAACACACAGCACCTTTGGAGCATGTTTATTAAGAAGTTCTCTAATATCATCGAGGTTACGGAGAAGTCCTCTCATATTCCACTTTAAGATCTGTGTGTCCATTTTAGATGTGTTTTGTGCTGTGTGCTCAAGGATAGAAAGTTAGCTCACAGACCCTTTCCAGGGGCCGTGACACGAGATTTTTTTTTTTTTGGATTGGTCGACGGAGTTGCGCCGATCCTTAGGCGCTGGCTGCGCCCTCAAGCTCGGTGTTGTGTCTATTGCCTCTTGCGAGGCACTGGACGCAAAGAGCGCTGCATTTGTTTTGAGGGCCTCGCCTCAAAAGACGAGACCTTCGCGGCCCTCAGCCCGAAGGTTGGTGGGTCTTTCTTAGATGGCGGAGCAGCACTGGCTGCAACCGCCGAGGGGGCGGATGGCGTCACCGCTGGCTCACTACGACTGTGCCAGACAGCCGCCAGAGGCCATGGTAGCACTGCCCCCTGACGCGCCACTTCGGCAAAGCTGGTTTCTGGTAGGTAGGACACCTGCCTTCGTGCCTCCCTAAATGAAATGTTTTGTTTTACTTCAATTGTGACAATTTCCTTTTCTTTTTTCCAGCATGGGCATGACCGTGAGTATGCGGCATGCTCCCCATTACGGTTCGCACAGTGAAGAGAGTTTTCACAGGCATCAGATGTGTGTTCTTCAGTACTGCATTTCGCGCAAGTTAGGCGGCCTCGGCAGTTCTGTGAACTGTGGCCGAACCGCTGGCATTTGAAACATCGGAGAGGGTTTGGTATAAATGGCCTCACTCGAAGCTTGATGTACCCAACCTCAATGGAGTCGGGCAATACACTTGAATTGAAAGTAAGTATCAGGTGCTTAGTCTGGACTTCTTTGCCATCACGCCTCATCCTAATTCGTTTCACGTTGATGACATTCTGTTCGCTGAAACCCTCCAGGAGTTCAGCCTCCGTCAGCCCTAACAGGTCATCATCTGAAACAACTCCATGGGTGGTGTTCATGGTTCGGTGTGGGGTTACTATTAATTTGGTATCTTTGAATTTCACTAAATCAGGCAGTCTCTCATATTGTTTCTGGTCGCGGAGCTCCAACAGGCGGTCACCTCTTGCCATTCTCGATGCTTTATATCCTGGGCCAAAGATTTCCGTCAAAGACTTTGAAACTAGAAAAGGTGAAAGTTTTCGCACTGGTTTGCCGGGTGTGTCAGCGTGGATAACATGGAATCGAGGAAAAAATACTCTCTGGTGACCAAAAAACTGGAAGACTTCATCGGTGCGCCCTCTTTTCTGAGGGCGATCAGGGAGTGGAGGGAAGGAACTAGCCATGTAAGTGTTAAATTTTCGGCAGCGGCACCAGCCACCCACCATGGAGTCCTACAAAGGGACGCTGCAGGGTCTGTAAGTACAGGCGCTGCAGACGCCAGCTGTACGCCACCACTATAACCGAATATGGTGTATCTAAGGTACGATAGCCACACAGGGTTAACCCTTGCCGCCAGGGTTAACCCTTGACGCACGGCGGCATTATCAAACGTCTGTGCTTGCTCCCACAACATAGCAGCAGCACCAATGGGCTTTCTGCCTTTTTCCCATGAACGGTGAAAATGATGCTGCGATCGGAACTTTTTCGCACCACCGGGCATAGAGAGACGCACAAGCATGTTTGCGATACGAGTCACGACAACTTCGCAAGGGCGATACCCTTTCAAAATGGTGGCAGACACTGCCAGCAAGTTTTCCTGGCCAATAGAGAATTGCCATTCTGGTCACATGCATCAAGCAACCAACGGAATGACGAGCTGTGCGTAATTTTGACTTTTTTTGCTTTTCGGAGGGGCACATAGTTGCTTACTAGAAAAGAAAAAAAGAGTCATAAACGCGACCTTTCTAACAAGACCAAAATGGGGCTGGTTGAGTGCATAGTTCACCTCTTGTCGGCGGTTGAAGTACGGCTAGTTTACACTTCAATTTAAAGGTCCGCTTGTGTGAAGTTGCTCTCTTTATGGGTTATAACTTGAAAAATAAGCAGTAAGTGAAATTTCAAAGCCGAACTTTGCTGATAGGTGCGGAAGGGCATTGGGAACGTGAAAATGATGAGAGAGAAAATGCAATTTTTCGGCCGATTTTCGACTTCTAAGTGCCGTGTTTTCCCTTAACGTAAGAGGGTGATGAATGATAACCGTGCAAATATGGTACAGAACTACTAATCACGGCAAAGTTCCGGGTGCACCTATTGTGCTCGGAAAGAAAAAAAAAACTCATTTCTTGCGGCTAAACTGGGAGTGCACGTTCCTATTATGTGAGTAAATATCGTAATATGACTTTTCCCAAGGCTTTTGTGTTTTATTCTTTGTTGAATTATCACTACGATGCCGTGCCACGTTCAAGTGAAGCTTCAAACGTTAAGATTGATTATTGGCCTGGGCATCCTGCGTCAACGCTGTCAACACAAGTAATGCAAAAGACTATCACGCGATAATGTCACCAGACAGCATCACAGATTGTTTAAATTTGTGATGTCACGATGATGTAACAAAATGACGCTACACCATGAGGTCGTCACCCAACATTGTAATTCTGTATTGCCTCCGTGATTGTTGGACTGATCATGGCGGCAGTGCTGAAACATTTGAGGTACAGGAACATTGCAATGCGCCCAATCCTGAACGCAGTGCGAGACCACCTTAGATAGAGACAGCTTTCGGAGGGGGGCTGAGGAAGATCAATACATTGACTATAGGGGAAAAAAAAAGAAGACAGCTTTCCTAGGTGACCGCAAAAGGAACTCTGCAAATTCATTCCCCTTTCCCTTAAAAACTTACACAAAACCATTTTACGTCATTTCTGGCCTTCGTAAGAGCCTACGCTTTCACAGGAAGTCATCTACAGTTACCGTGTCAAAACCAGGCTTGTTTTGCACTATAGTTACAAATTCATCATTAATTCAAACCCTACGAGACCAGTACTCAGAACCACATATTTTTGTTCACTTCGGATGTTTACTCTAATACACATGCATAGCACATACATTATGTGTACACTCTACGCTTCTCAAGTGTAGGCGGGCAAACTAGAGACCTTTTCGCATTGGGCTAGTGCACCAGGAGGCCATCTAAAATCCTTGGCACAGAGTCCATCAAAGCTTTGTAACACCATGCTAGGATGTCATAGCAACAACTATGACTGGCCACTGGCTCACGCGATTGATATTTGTGGTTTAACACCCGAAAACCAGCATATGATTATGAGAGATGCCGTAGGAAAGGGCACCAGAAATTTCGACCACCTGAGGTTCTTTACTGACTGGCCCACACGAATACTGTCACTTTCGTCTAAGTGCTTTTAGCAACACGCACCTGCGGGCAGTCAAATGTGAAAGCCCCCTATCCTTTTCAAGGTATGCTGCCTCTACTTTTTCTACCGTTCACTGTCCAAAGGCAGCCAGAAAACATAGGTACTTTTTCATCGTTTTTTATGTATCCTAACAGCCAGGTAAGCAGCAAGTGCATGGCATACTTTCTGACCTTCAGGCACAACACACTAGGTACAATATGGGACGTAAGCTGAAGACTGCGCACTCACATGCCCTGATAAATATGCTGTGACACCAGCAGCTGCCGATGCCAAAAGGCTGAAGGCAACACCGCTCCACAGCCCCTACTTGCAGAGCACAAAGCTCCCCCATAGAGTTACGGAAAAGCTTTATGACCGTAAAGGTATTAAAGAACTGACAAAGATCTTGGCTGGGGCCATGTGGTATGCAGGTACTCAGAGTCAAAAGGTGTTTGTTAAGCATTTGCACAATTGTCCGGCCCATGTTTGCAGCCACTCTATGTACATCCCAAAATAGGAGCATACAAGTTTGAGCTCCATAGCACATACATACAAAGCAGTGATAACACAAAGTGGTTACCTTTTTCAGCCTCAGCATAATATGCAAGTATGGATGTGCGAGCCAGTTCTATGATATCTGCAGGCTTATGAGCACCGGCTGGTAATGGCAGAGACTCAGCTGCCTGCAGGGCCTCCGTGTAGCGCATCTCGGCTGTCAACAGTGCTGCCAGGCCCTGTGGTAGATGTAGTTCTGCTTCCACCGCACGAAACAGCAGCAGTGATGGAGTGAACAACTGAATTGGGAGGAGGACAAGCGAAGGCATATTATATAGGTTGAAACTGTACTGAACAGCATATCACTTAACACACTAGGGACTACTCTAACTTGACTCTTGATACTCTTAAGATCTGAGAATTCAAACATTTACTTTTGATTCAATCAAACAAATCTAAAATTTTTGGCTGATACACTATATTTTTGGTATATTTCAAAGCCACTTGATTCAAAGTGCCCCATAATGTGAATCCAGCTAAATCAAACTATCTTATTTTCGCAGGAGAGATTTGCTGTCCTTGCTTAAAGTTGAATATTTGCATTTTTATGTCATTAATAGTCGAAAATCAAACCACGAATTGCCTGCCTAGCAAACAGACAAACGAATCAAACTGTGCACATCAGCAAATACATGCTAAGAAAAAAAAAGTACGCAAACGAACCGGTCTGGCTTTTATTAAACATGCCGCACACTTCTTAAAGTCACTTTCCCCACAGTACACTACTGTCAAGCGGGAAGGCGTCCTAAAAAAAATTTAGGAAGGGGTCACAGGACTGATTTCGTCCCTTTAAAGGGACACTCAAAAGAAACAGTGAGTTGTTTTAGACTGATAAATCGCATTCTGAGAGCTCTAATGACACAAGTTTCACTTTCAGAAGTTCATGATTTCTGTCAAAAATCAAGGCTAAAGATTGATTTTTAAATTTCGCGCCGTAATTTGCACACGTGACATAAGAAATTCCACAATGTATTTCACGTATTTTCGCGACATTAGCTTGATGAAATTTTCTACGACTTCTTATGCAAAGTATATGGCACCCACAGATTACGATGCACAGTTAGACTTGCTTATAACAAACCTCCATATAACAAATTCTTCGATACAACAAAGTTTTTATATTCCCTGCCGTTGTTCCATAGAAGCACATGTATTCGCGACCTCTATATAACAAAGTAACAGTGGGAAACAACCTTGATATAACGTATTTTCCACACGAACAATCTAGGAAGTTCGTTCCACATTTTGGTACGAGCATGCATCTTCCGCAATTGCCCCACCGCCGCGCGCACGGTGCACCAGGCGAGAGCGATCGCTCGTTATTATTGAGGGCGGTTGGATGAGCGCGAGGCGGGCCTACACCCCGACAAGCCAGCGTGCGCTGGTGTGTGCCCCCCCCCCGCCTCACACTCCAAACCAAAATAAAAAAAAATACTTTTGCGCCTTGACAGTGCCACGCTTTTAGTTACCGTTACATACGCGGGGCCACGCTGCACATGGAAGGCACTTTACCGATTAGTTTTCCACAGTGTCCGTGTCATTCGCTCATCGTTTTTGACGCTTTTTGCGCGTAAATAGTTTCACCGGTGGCATGGTGCACCCCCTGACGACGTAAAGCTTTGCTTTTTTTTATAATGATGAGATAGCAATTATATGGACAGTCTTGGCTGGTTTTTTGCCGCTGCCATTCAGGGTATATGTATACGTATACTGTCGCCACGCGTACTTTGCCCCACGAATAGGGAGGGGGGGGCCTTACATGCTTGTGCGTGCGTGCTTATTCTTCGGTGAAGAGAATCCCACCCTTTCGATTTTGACTAGAACGATTGCGTTAAGTTGCCGGGTGCACAAAGATCACTCCGCTTTTCAAAAACAGCAAAGTAACAACTGGGGCACACTGTTGGTTTGCACTCATATCTGTGCCTGTGATTATACGTTTTATGCCTCGCTTTTGTTTAAACAGCGCGTTAAGCATCGAGTGGTAAACGTTGTTGGTTCGCTCTCATCCTGTGTATGTTTTTTCGATGTGATTGCCGTTCTCGGCGTTAATTCCAAGTTGTTGCTATCGCATTGCTTCACCCTTGTGGCAAAACTGTGACTTTTCTTAATTTAGGACAACTATGTCGTCACCACCGAGGGAATGTCAGATTAGGCGCTGATGGAAACTCTATGAGACCACGGTGACGACAGATATTCGGAGGTCGACTCGTCAAGCGCTTCTGTTTTGTGCCACGCTGAGAGTTCGCATGCGGCTAGCTTTCGCGATTAGTCAATTAGTTCTGGCAAAAACACGACGGTGCAGTGAATGGAATGCAATGAGTGCGATAGCAAAAAATTGTAATGTTATAAGAAGAAAGGCTGGCAGCCAGCTCTTTTAGATCCAATATCGCGAAACTCCTATAAAACGCTGGTGTGAGCAAATACGGCTCTTTTCACACAGTCCCTTCACGTTGAAACCGCACTGATACTCGCCGAGATAGCAAGCGTGTCAGCGATCGCGACTGCCCTTAAAATCCAAGTTCATTATTACTACTCGAGCGATTCCTCTCCCCCTTCCAGCGTTGTTACACGCTTGTTAAAGACGGGTGGTTTACTTTCTGTTTGAGCATTCGACGGCAGTTCCAACACGTGGGAGATGTTATCTTATGCACTTTCCAGGTGATGGGGATGGGCCGACTCATTCGATCTCTGCTTCAGCAGCGCTCGCGCACTTTTACCCGCTCGTGAAACTTACGACGCGCTGGGGTATGTTATCAATTTGGACTTGTTACAGAAGATGGACGCAATGGCAAAAACTGAGAACGTCCATATAATTGCCATAGCAATAATAACGCAAATTTTTACTGTAAAATGAGTGTTTTGAGTTAGCTCTGCCTTTAATCTCGCTTTTGTTTAATTTGCACGTTTATTTTCCAAATTTTCATATCCAACCTGCATATAACGAAATCATCCTTATAACAAATTTTTTCGGGAATTTATCGATTTCGTTATATCCAGGTTTAACTGTACTTCAATTTTGTCGATTAGAACCTATGTCAGACCTAGTAAACGCCTTCAGAAATCGATGACGCTACACTGTTTGGCGCGGAAATCTCAAGGCAGCGTCTCCACACGCAGTTTCTTTTCACACGTTTCCACGCTTACCAAGTGTCGTGTCGCAGTAAGAGTAGTGTTTTCGGGATTGCAAAACTGTACTTTACTACTATGTGAAAGAAGCGTTTTGCTCTTTAGTGCCCACACCCTCGCTCAAGTTGTAGGATGATCGATATGCATATAATCACTGGCATCTAAAAGCTTTACTCTGAATCATTCAGAGCTGTCTATAATATTGCTGCGTCACTGAGAAAACAATACCGCAACACCTGCTGTTATGTTGCCGAGTCATATTTATGAGAAATTATGACAATTCACACAAAATCCAAAGGTCCCCTAGGATTTCTGTTATTAAGAGTCAACCGGAGTAAAGAAATAAAGAGAGAAGCCTTGCACTTTAAGGTTAGTGATTGGTTTTTGAGCTAATATTTAGGCTCTTTAAGTTGTCCGACATACAAATCACAGTAGAACATGGTTATATCGAACATAAATATATCGAATTTTCGGGTATATCGAACTCCCTAGTTATCCCCTTGAAATTTTTGCATAAAGGTATTGAAAATTGCACGTTTATATTGAATGGTATTTTTACCTGCCTTCGAATATATCGAACACAATGAGAGCTAGAAGGTGCGCTTCGGCATTTGCACCCCCAACTCCTGCGATCTCTGCGGGCGAGTTGAATGGCATGCTTTCGGCACTTGCAGCAGTGCCCAGTGACTTCTGTGCGACACCACACCTCCGCCAAAACCCGAAACGCTCGAAAAAAGGTAAGGGCGAAAGGGCTCGAACTGCGCAATCTCCCACTTGCGAAATGGCTTTTAAAGACGATAGTGTTTTTTGGGGTACTTCGACGCAAAAATTTTGGTCTGTCTTACTGTCTGTATACTTGTCTGTTTGTCCGCCGTAACGATGCCCCAAACCTTGTTGAAAAACAAGGCAGATACCAAGGCAAATGCAGCGGAGCAGCAAACATTGGGAGCCTGTCATGTGCGCGCTTGTGCCCATGGGAATGTAGAAAAGGCACTGCCTGGTTTTTAGGAGTGTGCGCGAAGGACATTCCGGTGGATGGCCCGATGCTGATCGCCAAGGCTCAATGGTTTGCCGCTGTACTCAGTGAAACAACTTCTCCAACAACAGTGAGTGGTTTCACCGATTTAAGCAGTGCTACACACAACATCGTTGGCAAAATCATTTCTGGCAAAACCGAAGCTGTCAGCAGCCAGAATATCTAGCAGTAGATGACGAAGGAGTGGCCGGAAATCTCTGCGAAGTGTTCTCTCGCGGAGATCTTCAATGCCTGGTGAGACGTGAAGATGGACACAGTGGTCAACTGCTTCCGCAAGGCAGCAAGACGGCAAAACTTGCGGAAACTGGTGAAGACGACGACAAGCCCATAGATGACATGTTTCGCGAGTTGTGATAACATCGAGACTAGCGTCTTCAACATTTCTAAAATAAAGAAGCAGGCCAAGGTTGGGTTTTTTTTTTTTCCACGCAAATAAATCATTCTGTTGCGGCGTGTGTGTGGAATTACTTGTCATTCTTCAATGCACCTATTGTAGGTGATGATCTGGTACAGGTAAGCTCTTGGGGCCTCTGAGTTTTAATATCGAATTTTTAATATATCTAACTAATTTGCGATCCCCTTCGAGTTCCATATGCTCCTGAGTTCGAGCTATGGCGATTTGGCCAATATATTGGACATCGAATACTCCATAACTACAAAGATCTCAGCAAGTTTTCTTCCTCAAAAACCAGTTGTCCAATATTTTGGACATCTACTAGTGCCCTCTAGACATTTTTGTCAAAATTGTGCCAGGATATCCAAAACAAAGAATAAAACATGGTAGCATTCAACAGATCACCGTTCTAGAAGTGTAACGGCGAAAATTAATGTCCACATTTTTGTAGTTTTTTTAATATATGTTATACTTTGAAAAATAACTTGTGGTTATTTCAGAATTTTTCACAATTTTTTTCAGTAACCTCGCTTTGTGTTGCTTCAGGCCCACTACTTAACGCTTTAAGTTTCAGCGTCCAATTAATTGAACATCATGCCATACCAAAACGACAGGCATCACGGAAATAATAAGCTTCACTTTTTATCATTGTCGTCCACACGCCCAGTTGTGAAAGTTTCAGGAAATTCTGTGGACCATTATCTGACCCGGAAGTCAGGAGGATATATTCGTGTTCGACTGTATAACACGCTCCTTTTCATGACATGCTGTAAGAAGTGTCACGTTAATTTTCACCACCGTGCACTTCATGATTGTCGTGCTGTGGACTACCCTGAAGAGCCACCAAAGTTTTGAGACTTTCGTTTCACCACTCCGTAAGTAAAGTAAACCACAAAAGAACGACATTCACTAAAAAAGAGGGTCACAGACGTCTTCCAAATAAACCTACATCTCGATATTGCTACATAGCTGACATATCAGGGGTCAGAAGACGACACTGAGAAAGTGGTCTGTCGGTTGTGCGTGCTGTCCTCCATCTTAGTCGATGCTATACACATCAGTTTCAATATGAATTCTAAATAGACACGCCTCGTGTCATTTTTACGTAACATCTTTGTGGTGGACGTGCTGGGTACTTCCCTGTCTTCATCACGAAGCTCCGCAATGGCCGCATCATCATAGGTCCAACCATGTCACCGGTTGAACAATTAACGCATTCACCACCTGCCCCTTCCGTGACTTCTACGTATGTCGTTCCATCTCCTGCTCGTGATCCCAGTGTATTTTCCGGTCAGGATGGCGTTGACGTCAACAAATGGATCAACTGGTACGAACGGGTCAGCGCAAGCTATAGGTGGGACCCGACTCTTATGCTTGCCCATGTGCTTTTTTTACCTCGATGGCCGACCGCGGGTGTGGTTCGAGATGCACGAAGCGGAGATTAGAAGATGGGACTTTTTTAAAGAGAAAATCCGCGACCTTTTTTGGCGACACCATTGGGCGGCAGATCGCAGCACAGAATCAACTGGCAGCTCGTGCACAGACGTCGACGGAGTCATATGTCGCGTACATTCACCACGTCATCGCCCTATGCCGCCAGATTGACGAGCACATGAGTGAGTCTGAGAAAGTGACCCATGTGCTGAAAGGCATAGCAGATGGCGCTTTTATACTTCTAGTATACAACAACGTTGCCACCGTCGACACCATCATTAAAGAGTGCTGGCGGTTCGAAGAAGCTAAGAGCAGCCGTATTTCTCAGCGATTCACCCGGCTGCCTAACACGGACGCAACCTCATGGTGTGAAGCCACCCGCCAGACCCCCACGTATGACAACGTCCTGTGCATTGTTCGTCGGGAAATCAAAGCCGCCTGTCCGGCTCCTCTTCAGCCACCCGTTTTCTCAACGCTCACCTCTGACCAACAACAGCCATCAGCGGCGTTAATACAAGTTGTGGTGAGGCAGAAGTTTGCGAACCTCGGTCCTTTTCCAGAGTCGAAATCGGGCAACAAGTGGGTCACCGTTGCTATAGACTACGCGACTAGGTATGCCATCACTCGAGCGCTCCCCACCAGCACCGCTACTCACGTTGCAGACTTTTTGCTCCACTATGTCATCCTACACCATGGCGCTCCTCGCCAATTACTCACGGATCGTGGCTGTGCATTTTTGTCCCGTGTAATCGACGATCTTCTGCACTCTTCCTCGACGCAGCACAAGCTGACCACTTCCTACTATCCCCAAACAAATGGCCTTACCGAACAGCTAAATCGCACCCTCACAGACATGTTCGCGATGTATGTGTCCTCCAACCACCATGACTGGGACCTGGTGCTACCTTACGTGACCTTCGCGTACAATTCTTCCTGTCACGACACCACTGATTATTCACCCTTTTATTTGCTCTATGGCCGTGATCCGACGTTACCACTCGACACACGACGCTGTGGCTCGTGCCGACCACACACGTCAGATCGCCCGCTCTAGACTTTCGGCTTCGCAAGCCACCCAGAAAGCCATCTACGACAGCCGGAATGTCGACGTTCGCTTCTCACCCGGATCTCTCCTTTTCTTGTGGTGCCCCGTTCGTCAAGTTGGCTTATCGAAGAAGTTGTCTCGCTACATGGGTCCTTACCGTATAATCCGCCAGGTAACCGACATTACCTATGAGATCATTCCTGCATCTGAGACCACAAGCCTGCCTGCAACCACACCCAGTGATGTTGTGCACGTCAGCAGGCTAAAACCTTACCACCTGCCTACTGAAGACCGTAGTTAATGTGCACAGAGACGGCGCTTTTACCGCCTAAGGGTAATGCTACGTAGCTGACATATCAGGGGTCAGAAGACGACAATGAGGCAGTGGTCTGTCGGTTGTGCGTGCTGTCCTCTATCTTAGTCGATGCTATACGCATCAGTTTCAATATAGATTCGAAATAGGCACGCCTCGTGTCATTTTTACATAACAATATGATGGATCCGGATACAACAAAATATTGGTTATAATGAAGTAAATAAACAGTAGTCATGCAATACAATTGAACCCCCTTTACAAGAGGGATTTGTATACACTGGGCAGCAATTCTCGTCTCTTAAATGAGGTGTCACTAATACGCAGTGTACAATATATGCATTTTCTTATCAATCCCTATTAGGTGTCACTAATACGCAGTGTACAATATATGCATTTTCTTATCAACCCCTATTTTAATATAGGCACATTGATGCCTCTTATACCCATTTGTCTCTTATATAAGTGACTTTTATAAAGCAATTTGACTGTGTAGTGTTAGGAATAAATCTTTAAAACGAATTTTTGACCACAATGAGCAAGTAAGATGCAACATTGTTATAATGAGGCTTGAGTGTATGCTGATTAAATGCCTAGGTAGTTTTTCCCATACCTTTTAGCCTATATTAATTTGTGTAACAAGGTTCTTGTAACACACGTTTTTTGTTAAAATATATAATTTTGGAGTTTTACGTGCACAAAACATGGTTACATGAAGGTGCGCCACGGTGGAAAGATTTTCCAAGTTTTGTTTTACTGCCTTAGATTCTCCAATGTACACCTAAATCCAAGCATATGGGTGTTATTGCACTTTCTTCACAGTGAAATACCACCACAGCTGGGATTTCATTCTACAACCTCAATCTTAGCAGCACACTACCATAGCTACTGAGCCACCACAATGGGTGTGTTTTTTGTAAAAGCACTTGCTAAAACAGACATGCATTATTACAATTGGTACAATTCAGCAGTGAATGAGTTGACATATGATTTGAGCTTGCAAGTGCTTGCTAAAATTTGCAGTCTTACACTTGAAGTTTCCTTTTCGAATAAGCAGAAATACATAAATGATACCATGAGCATAGTAATAGAAGCAAGTTCATAAAGAATTGACTGTATAAATTTCCTTATCCTCTACATTATTAACCACTGTAAATGTAGGATGAAAGGTATTATAATCACCTTCAGGTTGCGCAACTCGAGGGCTTTTGCCAAATGGACAAACATGCGATCTTGATATTGCTGTGGGAGACCACGATGAAACTCCCGCAGGTTTCGAGTCAGCTCCCACTGTGAAAAACAATAGATATACATATATGTATATATAGACGTGGGACAACACTCTCTCGTCATTTATAGAGCATATTCCCGCCCTCCACTTTTTTTAAGGACAATAGTCTTTTTTGGGGACCTCCGACGCCAGAATTTTGGTCTGTCTGTATATTTGTCTGTTTGTCCGCACTAACGATACTTTAAACGGCACTAAACGATACCTCAAACGGCCAACCACATTTGCAGTGCCCACTAATATTGCTCAAGTTTCAGTGTTCATAGTTGTAAGATTGTCAACTAAAAAGCAATTATTGTGCATATCTGAGACACCATAACAACACGTCCATATTTTGCATGAGTGCCTTTATACTAGACAAGGTACACATAAGTAATTCCAAGGACTGTAGCGTTTATCACGCTGCACTGAAAGTGCAATGCGATGCCCAAAAAGGCAAGTGTTTCTAACGCTTTGCTAAGATGACAAAGTGGTGGCACCTGCCCGTTGCTTTGCGTTCTACACCTTATCGCATCCGAAACAGCCGCGCATCTTTCTCAGTGGTCGCGCACCCCTTCCTTTGTTTTCAAAGATAACTGCAAGATAACGCTCGTGTCTAAAGTGTCTCGATGCACTTGTTGGCTTTCGCTGCAGGGATCGAGACTCTCTAGCGCAGCGCTTCCAGAATACAATTCAGCAATGTTTCTCGTGCAGAACATCAAATAAACGTTTTGTTCACTCTCTCCACATGCAAGACTATGGTCTTTTGACGACATTTGTAGTGGCAGACACGGGGCCAATTTTATTTTTCTTGAAGGGGCCCTGCAACACTTTTGGAGCGTGGATAGAGAAAATTGCCAATCGGGAGTTGAGGCTCCCGAGAACACGCGAGTCGAATATTATCACACAGCACGCGGCCTAGAATTCACAATCAATTCTCAGTCAGCTAAAAAATGCTTTTTCTTATCTCAAAAAATAACAATGCAAGCTCAAAAAATGACTCATTTACAGCCATTGTATCAGCCATAGGCTGATTTGAGCATGAAGTGCTCGGTTGTCACTGTTGCCGCCGTTAGTTGTCCCCACATGTGTGTGTGATCGTACTGAAAAGCCGCATACTCAAAGAAAAAAAAAAATGGCTCCATATCTGCATGTTACACTGCAAATGTTGTCAAAAGACGATAGTCTTGCATCTAGAGAGAGTGAACGAAATATTTATTTGGTGTTTTGCGCAAGAAAATCGGTGAATGGTATTCTGGAAGCGCTGTGTCGAAATGCCTCGAGCGTGAAGCGGAGGCTAATGAGCTCATCGAGTCACATCACACGTGAAACATGAACACTGTCTGGCAGTCATCATGGAAAACGAAGTGCGCAGCGTGCGTGCCCATCTTGGAGGCGAAAAGGTGTAGAACACAAAGCGATGGGTAGGTGCCGCCACCGTGTCGTCTTAGCAAATTGTTGGAAACACATGCCTTTTTGTGCAAGCGTTGCATTATCAGCACAGCGCGATGAATGCTACGGTCCTTAGAATTACTTATGTATGCCTTTTCTAGTATAAAGGCACAGCACACACACAGAATATTGACGTGTTGTTATGGTGCCTCAGATATGTGCAATAATCGCTTTTCAATTGATAATCGCTTAAGTATGAACGCTGAAACTTGAGCATTATTGGTGGGCGCTGCGGATGGGGTAGGCCGTTTTGAAATATTGTTTCATGCCGTTCGAGGTATTGTTACGGCGGACAAACAGACAAATGTACAGACAGACAGACCAAATTTTCGCGTTGAAGGTCTCCCGGAAAAACTATCGTCTTTATAAAGTGCTCAAGGTCACGATATATGTGTGATGTATTTTCTTTCCCCATGCCATCCCTCCCTGCTTAGCTTCTAAAGCACTTTCGTTGGGACAAGAGAAGAGAGAATGCGATTTCAGCGTGCGACAAGTATTTGTAACATTGCTCGTACTGGATGGATTCTAAAAATTTTTGTGGCGGTGAATTTGTGAGGCAATAAGCTCGTTTAGTGAATCCTTTCCATGGCTACATGAAAAAGTGTGCAGGGCCCCTTTAATACAGATCCAGCCCGCTGTATGCACTGGAAATGTAGTTCATCATACAGCTGCGGCTCAGAAGGCCTTGTAAAACTTTTCTGAGTTAATAACAGAATACTCTCACTATTAGTGCATGACTCTTCACAAACCACATGCCACAAAAAGTTTTAGAGCCCATCAACTAGTACAAGTGGACTTGCAGGTATTTGTCAGACGTTTCAAGCACCTTCTGTCTCCTTTCGTGCCAGTGAGTGTGAATGCTATGAAGGGAGGAAGATGACATTAACGAGGGTCTCGTACTGGCAGACTTGGTGTCATTAGGTTGTATACGAGAGACTATTCATCAGCTGCCCGCTCGTAATAAGTTCACGTGCTACGTGACGCAACACATGCGCATAAAAAAGTGTTTCACACTCGTCGCTTGGCTTATAGATGGCGCTGACTGACACTCCTACTTCTAAATTCACATATAAACTCAAAAAAGTGGATGGAGGGAAGGCCGCTGTGACAGCTCAGTCGTTAGAGCATCGAACGCGTTATTCGAAGGTCGTAGGTTTGATTCCTGCTCACGACTGGTTATTTTTTCACCCACTTTTCTTTTTTCTTATTTACATTCCATTGGTTCTAATAACTTCCCCTATACATTCCTTGGCATTACTCTCTGTTAGATCTCATTATTATATATATATTATATTATTATATATTACATTATTATATATATATATATATATATATATATATATATATAAAAATGCAAGAAAGAAAAATAATCGAGAAAAAGACTTCGACGTGTAGAATCAAACCTGGGACCTCTGAATTGTGAGTGCAAGGCGTTAGCCACTGAGCCACAAAGGAGCACCTAGGGGAGCACTTCCTTTAATGTGCAAACAGCAAGCTCTTTATATCTACCCATTTACCGCTAGTTACGGGCACCTCGGGGGGAACTATCCAGTTTTCAGCATTACCAGCAAGATGGCGCAACGAGCACGTGTTCCCACATCATCATGACGTGGCGGCGCGCGCTCTCATCTCCCAAATGTACTTTGTCCCACGGAGAAGGGGCAGGGTGGACGCTCATGCGTGCGCTTATCTCGCGGTGGGGAGGATCGTAGGTCTTGGCTGGCCATTGGCTTTCATTGCAATGATTCTGTTGTAGTTACTGGGCGCACAAAGGTCACTGCAGTTGTTGCACAGTCTCCGTTTGCGAAAAAGGCGCTCTTTTCAGACATAGCGAAGTAACAACTGAGACGCTTATTCGTGTTTATCTGTACCTGTGAGTACGTTTCGCGCGTCATTTGGGTGTAAGGAATGCGAGGCAGGTTTCAATCTGCTTGCCATTCTGCGCTTGACCATCCAATTTGTTACTATCGCGTTCATTGCTTCGCCTGTGCGGCAAAGCTGCCACTTTATTTGTCTGGTATGTCACATGACACGTGCTGAATGAATTGGCTTTTGGTTCTGTCAGCTGGATGGGTTGGGTGCCTATAGAGAGTAAGAATACTATAGCTACTTGACAAACCTGGCAAGAAATTCAGGTGAAAAATAATTTTTTATAAATGAAGAAGTATCCCTTACAATTCGTAAACCAAATAAGGATGAGCAAGCACGTCAATATTTTTTACCCCAAATCTCAAGCTATGAAAACATTCGTCAAAGAAGGTAGCATAAGAGTAATGCAACTTGTCCAAGTAATGGTTCTGAATATTTTTGATTGTTTAGACAATCACAGCAAAAGATCAATAAAATGCGATGTTTCATGAGTGAGATTTCACAAAGAAAACGGAGTTAAATTCACCATGCCAGAAATGACACCGATGATAACATTCTGAAATAGTACTTTCATTGTAGTGGCAGATATTTCATTTTTAAAAAACTGAACTACATTTCAAGCTAGTCAAGAAACTAAGTTTAAAAAATCATCCATGATTGTCACAAAAAGAGCTTTCTTTCATAAAATACATTCGATAGAATTTGCAGGGAAAAGAAAAATCAGAACATACATGCGAGCACAGTGTTGACAACCGAACAGGAGGTGAAACACCCTGGAAAAACTTCATGAGAGAGACAATCTCTTCTGGGTCATGTGAAGCCACAAGTGCTCTTGCCATACGCCCTAAATGTGTGGCGGGGTTCTCCGCTGGAAAAAGAAAAAGGGCTAAATTATGCCATTCACTTTGCAAACCTAGAAGCAGGAAAGAAAAGTTACATTAGAAACTAAGACAGTGCAATACTTATTATACTGTTCACTTTATTTCCGAACCCCTTTTTTTAGATGCAAGTGAATTGGAACTGGCATTGGACAACAGTGGTCTACAGCCTCTTTGATTCAGCGCACTGAAAAAAAAAAGCTTTTTAATGGTAAACTTTACCTGCTTGACAGCGAGATTTTGCATATAACTTCTTTATATGATCATCAGAATCGTTTGCATGTAAAGTAAGCAAAAATTCTTTACACAATACAGTGATGCAACCAAGCACATCTGATTTGGAGCAATTTTCGAAGCAACGAAATTATGATTTCAGAGCACTTCAGAGCCCATAACTTTGCATCTTGGAGCCCTCTGGAGCAGCTAATTTCCTATCCAGGAGTAGACTGAAGAAGCAAGTTGCACTTACATTCAAGCTCCTGAATATATATTATGGGGCTTTTACGAAAAGCTAGAAATATTCAATTCACTGCAACCTTCACAGAGAAAGCCATCTCCGGGTGCTTAAAAAACTCGAAGCTTCGCAAACCTTTGTTAGATGCTCAGAGCGTGGCCAATGATCATGCGCCCTTAGATGTTTAAAGTGTTATTATTATGAACCGAATGACGCCACAGCAGGCAATGTGTCCTCATAACTTTCTACCGCTCTTTGGCGAGAAAAAAGACGACTTAGATGAGTAGTATCTGCCGATCTGAGGTGATTGCTAAGGACAAGATTTCCAAACGACACGATTTTCAAAGCACAACTGGGCTAATGCTTTCAGCATGCTTTTGGTGGGGGAAGACGTGAAAATGGCCGGCTGTCTCCAGAAGACTCGCTTGACTACAAAAAAGCAAAGGTGGCTGTCACTGGTCCCGTTAATTCGGGAGGCGATCGCCGGGCTTATTCCAAGGGCCGAAGTATCGGCCCCCCGAACCGCACCACGAAAGCGTGGACAATTTAAAAGTGGTCCTATTTGGCGCGCCAGCAGACGCCGGCTGCGGTCCAAAGAACAAGTCAGAGCCGAGAGTTGATAAACAAAACAAAATTATATTCTCAATAATGGCAGATAAAAACGATACACAAATATGTACACTTGACAATCATTGAATATGATATGATACCAATCAAACAAACTACTACACAGTACAATCAGCCACACTCGAAACAACGGACACAAACAACAATCTGCTCTACAATGCAGTCACATGCATCGAACAACCAAGGCACTTAAAGACGAAAGAGTTCGAAAACTTATTGAGTCCAAAGTCCTTGGAACAAAAGACTAAATGATACTCTCACTCAAAGTCCAGAGTTGTTGTCGTTCCGCTGCCCCCGAAGTTTCTCTTCCAGGAAACCTCTTGTCTCCACTTGGCCGCTCTCCAGGCTCCAAACTTCTTCGCCGGAAACATGTCGGCTTCCCACATGCAGCTGTTGCCACGCGTCTTCACTCAATAGCGGTAGACACACACTCTTGCCTGTAGCTCGAGTCTTCACCCCTCAGGTGGAAATCCTCTTCTTCTCCTCCTTTGTCACTGAGGACAAAAGGCTTCGCCCACAAAGCGGAACACCCTACGCACTCTGGCGCATACTTTTTTCTTCTCCTGCTTAGTCACTAAGGACAAAACCTTCACCGACAGACGCGACGGGATACCCTACGCACTCTGGCGTTAACTTCCTTCTTCTGCTGATCTCCCATCTCTGCTGCTCGGTTAAATACCTTCCGCGTGCGATTCCAGAAAATTCTCATCATTTCGTCGGCGCGATGCACAGCGAAGGCAGGGGGAAAGCGCGAGACGGTTCGACGGCCGTCCGCGGCGAATGACGCAACCCGGCATCACCACGCCCCTTTCCATCGAGAAATTTCCAGGGCTTGCTCGGCCGCCGATGTGGGGTGAGGAGGTTCGTCGGCGAACCTACGCTTCCGAGGGGAGAGGGACGCGTGCCCGGGGAGTCTTTGGATGCTTGTTTTCTTCTTTTTTTTTTATCGTTGACCTCTCGGCGCTTCGTCGCGAGAATTTGGCGGCGCGCCCTTTTTTGAGCGCTCATTTTGTGACAGTGACCCTGTTGCAAAGGTCACAGTTTACTACTGAAGGATAAACAAAGAAATGCCGTTCCAGCAAGTCGGAGGACCTTGAAACTATTTGCTATTTGTCTGCAGCGTTGTTCTGACCGGCAGGCTTAAATTTCGAAGACACTGAAAACCTATGAAGGCACGCAAGACCTCCTCGTCTTAGAGATTGATTGATTCATATGAGGGGTTTAACATCCCAAAACCACCATATATTTATAAGAGATGCCGTAGTGGAGGGCTTCAGAAACTTGGACAAAATGGGGTTCTTTAATGTACACCTAAATATGAGCACATGGGCCTACAGCATTTTCGCCTTCATCGAAAATGCAGCCGCTGCGACCAGGATTCGATCCCGCAACCTGCGGGTCAGGAGCAGAGTACCTTAGCCATTAGACTACCGTAGATGGGCAGCGTCTTAGAGCAGTTTCTGAAGAACTGCCATAGCGAACTCACAGCATTCCTAAAAGAGAGAAACTGCAAAACCCTGAAACAGATGTCAGAGACATGTCACCACTTTTTATGGAGGCGCAACAACGAAGAAATCTGGGCCAGTTTTGGCAAGCATTTGGAATATCTAGTGTTGCTGGAAAGAATCAGCAGAGATGGGAATTGATTGATATGTGGGGTTTAACGTCCCAAAACCACTATATGATTATGAGAGACGCCGTAGTGGAGGGCTCCGGAAATTTAGACCACCTGGGGTTCTTTAACGTGCACCCAAATCTGAGCACACCAGAGATGGGAATTATCACAGTCGTCCCAGATATTATGTTTCCTTTGTGACCGTATTGGACACAAGGCTTCTTCATGACCAGCGAAAACCAAGCAGCCCTTTTGTCACGTTTGTCAGAAAGCCGGTCGTCAAGTGAACACTGACTGTGAGAAGAAAGCTGGAAAGGACCAAGCTACGAGGAGCTGTGAGTGCAGTAATTTTTGCTGAACGGGAAGAAACGAGACAGAGGCTATGGTACTGCGAAATATGGGTATATGCCTTTAACGATCGGACAGGTTTTTGGAAAAGAAGTAAAGGTACTGCGTGACTCAGGCAGCAACACTGCTATAGTGCAGCAAAACCTGGTTCCAGACATCACTTAGACAGGAAGAAACATCACTGTCATCTTTGCAGACGGAACATTCCAGGAGCTTCTAGAGGCGTGAAGACACCTTCCCTCACCTTTTTCACTGCACGTCTACTAGTCGAACCTACGTTTGTCCCCTGTATGAAATTATTATATGAAATATACCAGGGGCACGAGCCCCTAACGACACTGACCCGGAATGGTCGCCTAAGAAGGATCAGGAGAGTTACGCTCCGAAAGGACTCGTAATATGCATGGTACTAAGTCCAACGATGATTGCAACAACGAAATGCAGAAAATTGAAACGCCATTATGTGGAAGGGTCAAGGTACTCTGCCATTACAACAGAAGGTCTTGTGCTGCTCAAAGTGATGACCCATCACTAAGTTTGTGTTTTGAAATTGGTGTGGTCCACTTTACTAAGTGAGGCACTCGCGAAGTGTTCGTTATGAAAAATGGATAAGTTTTCAGAGACCGCAGGCTTCGCAATGAAATAAAGTCTACACAAGTTGTTCTGCCACAGTGCTTGTGAGGTTATGTCCTAAGGGTCGCCCATGACAGCATCCCAGTCGGTCGTCAAGGAATGAAGCGCCTGAGGGACTACATGCAGGAAGAATTGAACTGGCCAGGCATGCATGCAGAAACAAAGCGGTTTGCGCAGTGTTGTGGTGTCTGCCAGGTAAGAGTACACAAAGGACAAACAGGCTCACATTGACACAAGAAATCCATAAAGAGTGGGTTAAAGTATAGGGATAAGCCACTTTTTCTTTTGCCTACTGTTCAAAACGACCTGTTCCTCAAATTTTCAGAGAAGACCACTTCCTGTGGTTTTTTTAAGAAGTAATGTGGACTATGTCCTTGACCTAGACCCCTATATCATGTTTTTCCTTTCTTTTCAAAATCATAAAGAGCCTCTCGGAAGGAATCACAAGAGAAACATGAGAACAGTTTCGTTTTACTTGTTCATTGTAACATGTGCAAAAGAGTGATGATGAAGCATTCACACAGGTACTTAGTGTTCAATTCTGTTCTCACTTTGAATGGTGTGTCTGATGGTGAAGCTTATCGTGCACTCAGCTGAAGTCTTGTTAAAGGAAACAAAACTTTTAGAAGGTGGACTTGTGTGATGGGAGAAGTGCGCAAGTGTTGTGTGTGGTCTCGTGACAAAGCCGGCATGGATCCTGTGGACGAAGTAGTCAGGCAGAAGCACGGTGACAAGATTTGCACGAAGAGGAAGACGACGATGGGTTGCAAAACGAGGCCATGAGAGAGAGAGGCGTACACGTGGAGTGGAGTGCCACGCGATTAGCAGCCCCCCTCCAGCCAATCACGTGATTGGCTGGAGGGGAGTCCTTTGACAACAAAAAGCCACTTCTTTCTTGAGTGTATCAAAGTATAATGGTTCCAATCTTCACTAGCCTATAAGAGCACTTCCTCTGCAAATACGACAGTGGTAAAGTATTTGGAACACCAAAATTTTCTGTCTTCGCTTTTAGTTATGCTTTAGTGATGCACAGCAAAATCTTGTGCTGTGGCTACCTAAGTTCTGATCGCTCCTCTTTGTGACCATACAAAGACAGTGCCGCTAAGTGAATGGAAAGATATGTGACCTATCATTTATTGACAACTCCCAGGGTCCAGTTTTTTTTTTTTCATGACTGAATTTGAGGCTTGTATGGCTCTAAGACGGTACTAAAAAAGAGAAAAAAATACAGAAGGTAAAGTAAGAACAAGTGCTCATTTCAAAGAACCGTTTATTCTAAAAACAAAGCTATTTTTATCAATGCAAAGAAGGCA